TTGGACCAGTTTGCACTCCCACCAACAGTGCAGAAGAGTTCCTTTTTCTCCACACCCTCGCCAACATTTGTTGTTGCTAGTTTTTTTAATATGTGCCATTCTCACTGGTGTAAGATGGTATCTCATGGTAGTTTTGATTTGCATTTCCCTGATTACAAGTGATGTTGAACATTTTTTCATATGTCTGTTGGCCATTTGCATTTCCTCTTCAGAGAAGTTTCTTTTTAGCTCTTCTGCCCATTTTTTGACTGGATTATTTTCTTTGATGTTGTTGAGTCTCATCAGCTCTTTGTAGATTTTTGTGATCAGTCCTTTATCATTAGTGTTGTGTGTAAAAATGTTCTCCCAGTTGGTGGGGTTTCTCTTTGTTTTTGTTATTGTCTCTTTTGCTGTGCAGAAGCTCTTTAATTTGATGTAGTCCCAGCTGTTTATCTTTGCCTTCACTATCACTGCTTTGGGTAAAAGTTGCAAGTTTTATAATGTTTTTTATTAGAAGTGTTAGAACACTGCTGTTAGGTATATTCATAGATACTGTATTGATTTGATTGTTTCACTGTGGTGAATCAGATTTTTTTTCTATCACATTTTGTAATTGATGATTACTATTATATAGGAATGCTGTTCATTGTTTTTTTTTTTTTTTTTTAAAGATTTATTTATTTTTATACAAGAACCGGGGTACAGGTCAGAGGTGCGGGAGGGTGAGAGGATTCACCAAAGACAGAGCGGGAGCAGAACAGGCAGACTGACGAAATCCACTGCTGAGGGGAGCAGCGGGCGAGACAGGCGAGGTCTGCCGCGCCATGTGGGTTTCTCCCTGGCCGGCCGGGACTGAACTCACACTGCAGAGTCTGCGGACGGCGTCACAGCGCGGCGCTCAACCGCCTGCGCCACCAGGGAGGCCCGGAATGCTGTTCATTGTATGTTAACTTTTTACCCAGTAAACTTGCTGAGCTCTTATTAGTTTTAATAGTTTGTAGATCTTTCCAAATATCTATGCAGAAAATCATAGTACCTACTAATTAAGAGAGGCAAAGGAAACAGCATGAGGAAGGGTCTAAGAGAGGGTAGTTCAAGAAACAAAGAAGGCAGATGATGCTGGGCATAATGAGAAATAAGGCAGACGATGAGGCAAGACAGAAACAGTATCATTGCACAAGATTTTGAAAGTCACTTTCAGAATTTTTTTTTTTTTTTTTTTTTTTAATTTTCTAGAGGCATGTCTTATTTATCTATTTGTTTGTTTGTTTGGTTTATACATGCACTGGGTACAGTCAGAAGCCGGGAGGGTGAGAGAATTCACCAGAGCCAGAGCCGGGAGCAGAGCAGGCAGAGGGACCGAAGTACACTGCTGAGGGGAGCAGCGGGCGGCAGGAGAGGTCTGCGCGCCATGTGGGACCCTCCTCTGGTGGCCGGGGAGCAGCCGGGGATCGAACCGGCGCCGCAGAGGCCGCGGGCAGCTTCGCAACCCAGCGCTCAACCGCTGCGCCACCTGGGAGGCCCACTTTCAGAATTTTAATGCAATGGAAAGTCACTGAAGAAGTCTAAGCTAAAATTGGAGGTAAGTCTCCATGGTCAGCATAGGGCTCTGCCATGTCTCTCTCCTGACCAACATTTTGGTAAAAAAAAAATTTTTTTAAGATTTATTTATTCATCCATACATATGAGAACTGGGGTACAGGCCGGATTCATTGGAGGGTGAGAGGATTCACCAGAGACAGAGCGGGGAACAGAACAGGCAGACTCATGAAATACACTGCTGAGGGGAGCAGCGGGCTTGACAGGAGAGGTCTGCCGCACAGTGTGGGAACCCTCAAAGGCTGGCTGGGATGGAACCAGTGCTACAGAGGCTGCGGACAGCTTCACAGTGCTGTGCTCAACCACCTGTGCCACCAAGGGAGGCCCATTTTGGTAAAATTTTAATGAATAAAATGTAAAGCATGTTTTTCATGAGTAATAAGATATTATGGGGGCCTCTCTGGTGGCTCAGGGGTTAAAGTCTCAGTGCTATCAAGCTATTGGTAGCCATGGTGGGCTGAGTTCAGTCCAGGGCCAGGGAGCTGATCCATATGATGAGGTAGACTTCTCTGTTTCACTTGCTGCTCCCCTCAGGTGTGTATTTCAGTAGATCCACTTGTTCTGCTTCCCTCTCTATCTCTGGTGAATCCTCTCACACCACCACCGCCCCAGATCTTGTATGCATAAATAAATCTTATGCATTAAAAAAAAAAAAGAAGCCCAGGCTAGGCCTTCCGGCTGCCTCCTCCAGACAGCAGGAAAGATCAAAGTAACTTTTTAAAATTACCACCTCTGTGTTTTCCAACAACAGTTAAATTCATATTTAGATAAAATCTGTAGGCTTTAGGGTCAAATAATGCTAATTTCATCAGGACAGGAAATCCCCTTCCTGATGTGGAAGTACTCAATCATTGTCTGTTAGATGAATAACTTCACACGTGTAATGGTTGTTCTAGGTAAATATGAGAGAAGGGACAACTCTAGGTTTGGGCTCACAGCATCTGTTTTATTAATTTGTATGTGACCTAGATCAGTCATTTCATTTCTCTCTGGTTGAACTAAAGTTCTTTCCAGGACTTCAGATCCATAGTTCTATACCTTTTCTAGTTATCCATTTACTCCTTTTTTTTTTTTTTTAAGATTTATTTATTTATTTATACAAGCACTGGGTACAGTCAGAAGCACAGGAGGGTGAGAGAATCCACCAGACCCAGAACGGAGAGCAGAACAGGCAGACTGATGAAGTACACTGCTGAAGGGAGCAGTGGGTGGCAGGAGAGGTCCGCGTGCCATGTGGGACCCACGCCTGGCAGCCTGGGATCGAACCGGCGCTGCAGAGGCTGCGGGCAGCTTCGCAAACCAGCGCTCAACCACTGCACCACTAGGGAGGCCTTACTCTTTTTTTTTTTTTTTTTTTTTAATGATTTCTTTATTTTTGCATACAAGAGCTGGGGTACAGGCCAGAAGCATGGGGGGGTTGAGAGGATTCACCAGAGACAGAGTGGGGAGCAGAACAGGCGGATCCACTGAAATACACTGCTGAGGGGAGCAGCGGGCGAGTCAGCAGAGGTCTGCTGCATTATGTGTGTTGCTCCCTGGCGGGCCAGGGATCGAACTTGTGCTACAGTGGCTGTGGACAGCTTCATAGGTTGGGTCTCAACCCCTTGCGCCACCAGGGAGGCCCTATCTGTTTACTCTTAATCCCTTTTTATTTGTATAGACTTTTACCATTCCTTTATAATCATTACAATAACAAAAAATTCTGTAAGCACTTCCTAAGTTCTAAGCACCCACCCAAATATTTATATATATGAACACATTTGATTTGCATAACTACACTAACAAGGTACCTACCATTATTATCCATTTTAGAGTTGAGAAAACTAAGGTACAGGAACATTAAATATTTTCCATAAGTTCACATAACTTATAAGTATTAGTGCCCAGATTTGCACACAGGGAGTATAGGTCTAGAGTACAAGTTTAACTACCTCAGTATGCTTGCTACCTCTAGGCCACCCTTATAGTACTGAGAAGCAATGACTATGTTATCTCATTTTCATAAATAAAGCAACTAAGCTTAAGTTTCTCAAGATTACATTACTAGAAGATAGCAGAGCTGGAACTTATGCCACAGCTTTCAACTATGTCCAATACACTTTCTGGTTACCAGCATGTTCTAGAGATTAAGTAAGTGGCCCAGCCCATGGCTTCATGAGTTAAAACCCCACTGCCAATTACTGGCTTGCTAACATTACTAAATTACCAAACTTCTATGCTTGTTTCCACATCTGTAAAATGACAATAAGAACATTAATACCAACTATATAGAACTGGTGTAAGGAGTGCCTGGGACATAGGAAGTTCTCAAAATCCTTATAGTTACTTTCTTTTCATATTGGACCAGTGCCATCCAAGTGGCCACATTTTTTTTTTAAGATTTATTTATTTTTTCACACAAGAGCTGGGGCACAGGCCAGAGGGGTGTGTGTGTGTGTGTGTGTGTGTGTGTGTATTTGTGAGAGAGAGAGAGAGAAAGAGAGAAACAGAACAGGCAGATTTACCAAAGTACACTGCTGCGGGGAGCAGTGGGTGAGACAGGAGAGGTCTGCTGTGTCATGTAGGTTACTCCCTGGCAACCTGGGATTGAACTCATGCTGCAGAGGCTGCGGATTGCTTCATAGTAGGGTGCTTAGCCCCTTGCGCCACCAGGGAGGCCCCCCCAAGTGGCCACATTTTAAAAAGTAAAAGGACACATGAAATTCTCTCATATACATCTTATTGGGCTAAATATATTTAATGTAGTTTTTAAAATCAAACCAATCAATTGTGTAATCAATAATCAATATGTTATGCATGAGAACTTTATAAATATTTTATTGTCTTAGCCATCCGGTATGTACTGTACACTTTACAGCACGTCTCAACTGGGGCCATCACGTCAGCGGCGGCTGACGGCAGCGCAGCTCAGCTCCGAGAGGTCCCCCGGCCGCGTCCTCCAGCTCTCCTCCCCTCCCCTCTCCTCTCCTCCGCCCCCTCCCTGCGCGCAGCAGGCCCGCGCCCTAGACCCCGCCCCGCGCCCCTCCCCGGTGACATCACAGGGCTACAGGCCCGGCGGGCGGGGCGACCCGGCCCGAGCCGCGCGGAGCGGGCGATCGGCATCCCTTCCGTTCCAAGCGCCCAAGTTCTAAAGGCAGTGAGTATCGGCGGCAGACCAGGCCTGGCGTCGGCCCGACAGCCAGAGGCCAGACGTTAGCCGGCGGCAGGCGAGAGATTGAAGCCCCCAAGCGTCCCTTGCCCCCAACGGCCCTCAGCTCGCGCCCCTACCACCGCGTAGCGGAGGCGGCGGGGCCGGCGCTCATTGGCCGGCCGCGGCCCGCTGCCCGCCTCCTCGCCGCGCTTATTGGTCAGAGCTGCGGCGCCCGCGGGATAGGCGGTGGCGGCGCCCCGCCCACCCGCCGGCCTTCAAGAGGGCGACGAGGAAGCGGCCGCCTCCCTGTGCCCCGCCCCTAGGACTGGGCTCTCTGGCTCCGGCTCCTCCCGGCCCTCTCCCGGCTCCCTCCGGCTCCAGCTCCGGCGCTGCGGCGGCGGGTAGGTGCTGCTGCTGGCGAGGCTGTCTGAGGGGCGGCTTCTCCGTCCGGGCGACTGCCGGAGCCTCGCCCCGCTGTCGCCGAGACCCCGCGGAGGCCCACCCGCGGCGAGGAAGGGCGGTGGCCGGCGGCTGCTGGACGCGGGGGCGGCTGGGCTGGGGGCCTGCGGGCTTGCTCTTTCGAGAGTTAAGTAGGATCTAGGGGCCCGCGGGGTGCAGCGGGCTGAGCGGCCGGGCTTCGGAGCCTGGCGCAGGGGGGCCGAGCGGCGCGCTTCGCGCTTGGGATGAGGCTGAGCCCGGGTGCGAGGGGCGGTGCAGTCTGGGGCTCTGGGTGGGGCTCGGGGACGCGTGAGGAGAACTCAGAGGTCTTTCCGAGAGACTTTTGGGGGCCAGTTGAGGGGGCGTCTGAGGCGAACCTTGGAGAGAAAGTCCTCTGGGAGGTTCTGGGAGGGGCTGAGGAGGGGCTGAGGGGAGAGCCCGGCGCCGACGAGGCTCTGCCTGCGAGCTCCGGCCCTGACCCTGAGTGGGGACTACGCATGTGTCTGGCTGCGGGAATGCGCAGGGGTCGCGGGAAGGGTAGTTAAGGGTAGGGCTGGGAGGATTGGGGCGGTGATGAAGAGGGGCACTTGGAATCGTTACCCAGAACAGAGATTGTGATTTAGCACATGGAACAGGTTCTCCGCTGGTATGTGCGCCGGAGTGAATTTGCCCGGTGGGGGAATGTTGGGTGTTTTGCTTCCACCCAGGGGTGTGTAAATTAAATGCATTTGCTACTTTTAGAAGAAGTCTGTGATTACCCTTAGGTTTGTATTTTAGAACCCAGAACCAGGGTGAAACGTGCTCCTCAGGAAGGCTGCTGCTACCCAGCTTTCTTCTGGAAACCCCCTTTTCTCCTTTTCCTTCTTTGGTCCAGTTACAGTATTGCTCCCCATGGCCTCTCGATTCTCCCTCCCTGACTGCATAGCATTGCAGTGTTTCTTGGTGTCTCTTTCTCCCTCTCTCTCTCTTCCCCTTCTTGCCCCCCTCTCCCTGGGTCTCTGTGTGTCTCCCGCCCATTTCCCTGTTGCTGCGCTTTTGGCTTTTGGCAACTGCGTCTGCTCTTTCCCAGGCATGGTTGTGGCATTGCATCAGGGGATATTTGTGCTTGTAATTTGCTCACTCAGCCCAGGAAGAGAGAGAATAGTGTGCTACAGAGATGGGAGGGGGTTGCTAGTCAGCTCGACTTGGTAGGCAGAGAAATGGGTGTGGCACGGGAATACAGCTGCTCCAGGCCTATAGGGTAACACTGCCCAGTCATCAGCTCAAAGAGATTCGTAGAGCAGCAGCAGCTATTTTTATAAATCAGTCCTGAATCCAAGCCGAGCACATGGATTTAGAGTGAACAGTTGTCATGCTCTAACTATTACAAACTGGATGTTTGGTAGACAACATTAGAGTTGCTAAGCAAAAGACTCCATCTCTGCTGTGCATGGAGTACTTGCAACTTTCTAACTTTTCTCAACTCTCTAGATAAATGGGATATCTCTCATCAAGGGTGTCTTTTAAATTGATGCATTTGATGGTTCATATTATCTCTTTTTTTCATATTATCTCTTAAAATCAAATGTTTTTACCTCAGTGATACTTTCAAATTTGATTTAAAAATAAAGCTATCACTTTTGAGTACTTGCCATTTTACAGGCACTAGTTGTAGGTATATACTTAGAGATGAGGAACTTGACACAGACAGAAATAAGAGGTCATACAGATAGTCAAGTGGCGGAAGTGGCATCCACATCAAGGTCTCTCTGACCCCTACACAGTAGTTAAGAAAGTCAAAATTTTTGGCAGACATGGGTGATTCAGGCTCTTGAGAATTTATTCATGCAAATTAAATTCACTAGAGACTGACAAAGTAGATTGAAATTTATTTACATTGAATATATTAAGTGCCACATACACAGTTGGAATTAATTATTCTTTGGCCAGGACACCTCTTTTGTTTCTGGGCAGTCTCATCAGTAGGTAGTAGAATTGGGACTAGGGGCACTGGATGATCTTTTTTTTTTTTTTTTTTTTTTTTTAGATTTTTATTTTTATTTATTTATACAAGCACTGGATACAGTCAGAAGCGCAGGAGGGTGAGAGAATTCACCAGGGCCAGAGCAGGGAACAGAACAGGCAGACCAATGAAATACACTGCTAAGGGAAGCAGCGGGCATGGCAGGAGAGGTCTGTCACGCCATGTGGGACCCTCGCCTGGCGGCTGGGGATCGAACCTGCACTGCAGAGACTGTGGGCAGCTTCGCAGCCCAGCACTCAACCGCTGCGCCACCGGGAGAGGCCCGGCACTGGATGATCTTAAGGGATGTTTTAACCAAATTACAGAAGCCTTGTGTGTCTTTTTTCTTCAGAGAACTTAACATATTTTCTCTGTGTCTCATTTTTATATTCCAAATCATCTCTTTGTATATTTGTTATTCCAGCATATTTTCACCTGTTGAGTTTCTGAATAAGTTTGTTATATACTATAAAGTAATTTTCTATAGTTTGTTGACAGTGAAAGAGCACCTGGATTTTCTTATTTCTCATTTTTTTGATGGTATAAAGTTATTCATTATATAATTTGACTTCCAGGGGAGAGTAGGACAAGCTTGTTGGAAGCATCTTGAGAGCTTGTTGAAAGCATCTTGAGAGCAGGGAAATACACTGGGCCACAGTTTTTATTTTGGTTATATAGTGAGGGTGGGAGTTTCCTATGTGAAGGGGCTTGCATGGTTTAAACCTCCTACCTAATTCAAGATAGGTGACTTAGCTTTTGTCTGAGAAGTGAGGCTGCCTGATATTATCTTATTCTTTCTTTTGCCTAATCTTGTTTCTGGATTTGGTGATCTGTCCTTTGGCTCTGTAAACTTTTACTGTTGACACTTCACATTTTTGGCATTGCTTTTTTCCTCCTCCTGCTCCATTTAAAAAAAATACTAAGTGTAAGTTTTATTTTTCCTCATAAAGCAAGAAAATCCGAGAGGGACATTTTGATCCATTGGATCTTGGTGGTTCATTTGATTTGTTCAGTATGAAAGGGAAACCAAGTAAATATCACTGATTTCATTTTGTCCTTTTACATGGCACTTTTATGTTTTCGGTTTTTTTTTTTTTTGTGGGACCCTCGCGGGTGGCTGGGGATCAAACTGGCACTGCAGAGGCTGCGGGCATCCTCATAATCCAGAGCTCAACCTCTGCGCCACCAGGGGAGGCCCTACATGGCACTTTTAGAACCAGGTTACTGTGTACTTATTGCTAGTAGTATGTTGAGAACAATTAGGGTCAAGAAAGGGGAAAAAGCAAACTTACAGAAATGTGTGGTCAGGGCTCCTTTAGTAGTGCAGGGGTTAAAGTCAGTGCTATTAAGCTATCACCAGCCACTGCAGTATGAGTTCTGTCCAGGGTCAGGGAGCTGACCCACATGATAAGGCAGACCTCTCCTGTCTCACCTACTGCTCCCTTTAGCAGTGCATTTCGGTAGATCCGCCTGTTCTGCTCCCCACTCTGTCTCTGGTGAATCCTCTCACCGCCCATACCTCTGGCTTAAACCTCAGTACTTGTATGCATAAATAAAAATAAATCTTTAAAAAAAAAATGTGGGGTCATTTCTTGGCTAATCTCAGTGCAGACCTTATGGTGAACTGTTTTATATGTCATTAAAATTTTAATGTTTAAAGTCAACAAGTTTACTTTTGTGATTCTTTTATAGGTTAAAAAACTTAATATTCTCACCATAAAAACTCATCTTACTAGTTTGCATATATTTCTATCTTAAAATTTATAACTTTTCCTTTCTGAATTTACAAAGAAAATGCAGTTTAAACAAACCTTTGATTTTGAAATAATTTCTAGGTTTACAGAAGGGTGGTAGAGATAATGTAGTATTTCTATATACCCTTCATCCATTTTCTCTTATTAACATCTTATATAATCATGATATATTTATTACATTTAGACATTAATATTGTTTAATAATGTTGACTGATTTACAGATTTTCCTCTGATTTCCCTTGTCTATACAGAATAATACCATTTTTTTACTACATGATCCAATCCCGGACACCACATTGCATTCATATGTCATGTTTCCTTAATTTTCCGGTCTCCTTGCCATTTTTTTCTTGCACCTTTGAAGAGAAGTGGTCAATTATTGTATAATGTTATTGAATTTGAATTTTCTAATGAGGTTATTCATTTTAGGAAAGAATACCATAGAGATGGTATTCCCTTTTGTCATACCAGGGTATACTGATATCAGCATGACAATACTGATGTCTGCTTTGATAACTTGATTAAGTTAGTGTCTACCTGCTTTCTCAAGCTTATCCTCCAGGGGAAGGGAATTAAGCTTCAGTTCCTGAAGGGAGGACTATCAAAGAGTTTGTGAGCACCCACAGTAATTAATAAATATTTAGGGGATGGGCCTCCCTGGTGGCGCAAGGGGTGAAGCATTGCACTATGAAGCAATCCCCAGAGCAACCCACATGGCAAAGCAGATCTCTCCTCTCTTACCCTGCTGCTCCCCTCAGCAGTGTGTTTCAGTCAGTCTGCCTGTTCTGTTCCCCACTCTATCTCTGGTGAATCCTCTCACCCCCCATGTCTCTGGCCTGTACCCCAGCTCTTGTATGCATAAATAAATAAATAAATCTTTAAAAAAGGGCAAATATTTAGGGGGAGATTCTGTGAGGCTGAAAAAAAAAATCTGACTTCCTTAAAGTTTCATCCACTAATTTTTGCATTCATCAGTGAAACTTGCCTGAACAGAAGTTATTAATCTGTTATTCTAGTGGTGATATTCTGTTTCATTCATTCTTTCTGTATTTATTATTTGGAATTCTTCTGTAAGGAAGATTTGGCCCCACCCCCTTTTCATTCAATAACTTGTGCCAGTATGGACTTATACATATGTATTTTTTTTTTTTAATAGAGGCATGTTTTATTTATTTATTTATTTATTTATTTGTTTGTTTGTTTTGTT